GCGGTTGAGAAGACGAGACGTTAGAGATCGATGGCGGAGTAGGAGTGGCGCTAGAGGTGTCGGCGCCCTGAGAAGAATGGAAAAAAGTAGAGGCTCGCTTTTTTTACAAAGTCAAGCCAAAGATATAAAGTGTGGCTTTGGATTGGCAATTTATGAGAGTTTGCTTTTGTAGTTCAAACTTTGCTATGAGAATTGGTCCCTTGATCTAGTGGTTAGGATATCAGCTTTACGTGCTGAGGGTCGCCGGTTCGATCCCGGCAGGGACCACTCTATTTTTTAGTGTTCTATTTTTTTGCCTTGTCTTTAATGCAAACCTGCTTGCTGCCTTCTAAAGCCTTGTGTGTTTATAGAACGCCAAATTTCCGACGATGGCGATCATATTATTAGGTACACGGTCTTTGAAAATGGAAAATGTATGAAGCAACTTGTGGCATCGCTGAATGATCCTGACAACGTTGAGCCAGATGTCGTTGATGACGACTGGGTTGTTCTACCCAAGTTAAACCTGGAAACGATGGAAATCGATTAAAGCTTTAGCTACTTCCAGTAAATACAACGGCAAAGTACATTTACCTAGCTAAAGTTTATGTTTAAAGAAAATAAATTAGAAGTGAAAGCAAAAAACGACCATCAATCTTTTCTATTGCAAAGAACTTGTTAAAGCGTTTGAAGGCTTTCTTTCTGGAAACCCACATGCAAAAGGGGGTTCTTTGAGAAATTCCTTTGGACTGCAGGGCCGCAGCATTTCCCATTCTGAGCACGTCCGTTCAAAGAGCTATTCCAATCAACGCATTTTTCCTCTCTATATTGTTATTTTTTGCATTTTATTCAACCATGAGTATAACTAAACTTCCAATGGACGAGGGAGTAATGCAAGTCTATGTCTACAACATGCTGGACAACACAGACCACAGAAACCCCGACCAATGTGTATTCAACCAGAAACTACCCGTCACTGGAAGGGAGCTACTCGCTACAGTTTGTGACATCTTCAAATGCAAGGACACTACGGCCAGGCTGACAAATATAGTGTTTTCAAAAGGTCCAAGTAAACGTGGTTCTCTGGTGACACGTTCCCATGTGTTTAGCATAGATGAATACGAATACGTTTACATTGACCTGTTTTTGGTAAACGTATGCCCACCATTGCACAAGAACCTCAAAGCTATTGAACTAAAGACTCGACAGGCAAAAAATAAGGCAAGAATATTGTCTGAGGACAGCGAGGGTTGCAGCGAGCTGCCTAAACATGTTGAGCTACCATTCTACAATCCGTCCAGAAAGTTGGCCAAGAAATCCTGCACAATAGCTAGCCCCGAAGAGGCACTAGAAGGCTACTAGGCTTTCAATTTGTGGAACTGTTGCAAATAAGGTTGTATATCTTAAAGGAGGCCTCCGTGCCCAAGACAAATATGAGGTTGCCTTTACTTGCCACAGTGAAATCAATCAGCGATTGTAACTTACTATCAGCACCAGGTATATGCTCCAGGGCCTCTGTTGTAGTGCAAGACAGTTTGGCTATCGCAGCTATTGCTCCTCGCACACGTGTATGCTAGACAGTAGGCATACTACATCTGTGGAGTATTGTGCAGGAGGGTTCAACTTTCACATAGAAGAAACAGTATGTTGCGCCACAAACAGGCAGTGTCAAGTGATCTCAGGTCTATTGCAGAACATGTGCAATGATGACGGCGGATGTTTAGAAATACACCAACTGGTGTATCACGTTCAAATGTCTAAGAGCAACAGCGGGCGACTAAAAAAGGCACCAGGCCTTCGGCAAACATGGATAAAAGTCTATAGCTTCACTTACACGAATCTCAAAGCATATATCTATATGAACAATGTTTATTCATATCACAGAATGGGTGGTGCACATAGCTTGCCTTTTACTTTTAGTACTTGTAAATGCAGCATAGAGAATCATAAGCCTAGGGTTAATGCCCTTTAATTTGAAATGCAACACACTTGTATTCGGATTACAGTGGAAAACAAAAAGAAAAAATGTGTGTGCCAATTTGCCATTGTTCAAAAGACATTCTTCAAAATCCAACATCATCCAATTGTCAAAGAGCTGTGCAAATTCAAAGGACAAGTAAAAGTAGAAACGCTATTTTTAGAACTGCAAATGGAAGCTCTTGTTTGGTCCTTGTCTGGTTCTGCCAGCTTCTTTTCATTGGTTTGGTGAAAGAGCCTTTAGAAGAAAATGACATAATTGGACATTCCAAAAAACGTTTTCTGTTTTCAATTACATTTCTGGTTGCTTTTTGTCTTGCTCACAGCCTTTTTATAAAGCCTGACAGCTCAAAGGAAAGCAGACACCGATTTAGCGCAATCATCTGAACAGAAATAGCTTTGCTTTGGGTAAAAGCCAAGTGCCTTTCTTGCCTGTTTCCGAACATGCTTGGTTGGTTGGGGGAAGGAGGCCTTTAAAATTCCTTGTTTTCACTCTCTCCACTGGTTGCTGTCAATCCGGCAGGATTATAAAAAGGCCAGCTGATGGCCCCACCATTTTATTCTTTATTCACACACATCCTCCACATCCAACTGACAATCACTTACTAATTCGTTATTCATTCATAAAATTTGGCCCATGGAAGTAAAGAGGTACCCAGTAATTACCATTGCATCATTTGATGAAGACATTCCGCAGCCTCTTGAAGACTTTGAGGCTATAGAGGGCACTACTTGTAAGGAGGCTGTGGTGAAGTTGAAAAAGATTTACGAAAAAGACCTGAAATTAAAAAATAGGGTGGTATATGTCGCTACAGGCAATGATATCTGCTATACAAATTCCAGGGATTACCCAGGGAAGGGAAATTCTAAAGAGGTCGTTTCTGGAGAAACGGTTTTTATTTTGATAAATGGACGCACTTTCATGTGCTACAAGGGATTGACAGATTACAAGGGTTGGAGTGATAATGCTATTATAAAGAAGCTCTATAGTAACTTACCGGCAAGTGAAAATGCTAATTTCAACGACTCTCAATAAATAGTCGATTCTTGCTGGGCCTTTTCCCTTTTTCCCTATCCCTACCTGATATCCCCAACCACAGGCATGGTGCCAAAAGCATGTGGGGTGACATGTGACCATGGCAGCAAATGTGTATCACACCCATCAACAGCTGTTTAGGGATATACCAACTGGTGTACTACATACACGTGTCTACGGGCGACTGTGGATGTCTATAAAAGGTGCCATGCTGTTGGCAAGTATGGAAAAGTGTCTTTGGGTTTTCATACACAAATCTCAAACGTATATCTAAATAAACAATATCTATTAATATCACACCCTGCCGCTCCACTAGTCTCCGTGGTTAGCCAAAGTAATAATACTCTGGCCAGAGAAACTGAGCGCGCTCTTTAAACATCGGTTCAAGTAGATAGAAACACGCTTGAAGTAGGGTTTCTGCTTCTTCCTTTGTGGCACGCTAAAATCTGATCTGAAAGCCAGAGCAGACTTTAGCTTTCAAAGCAACCTCCTTTTTTTTTGGTCAATGTGCCAACAGTAAAACAAGAAACAGATAGCTTCAAGACTTGAAGCAGAAAGAAGCACACCCCTTTGAAATATTGTCACTCGGATTTGACAAAAGACAAGAGGATTCCTTGTCTGACTTTGAGCTGCAAAGCGTGGTTGGGGGTGAGACTTTATTCTGGGTGTCCTTCTTCGTGCTGTTCTGCATCCCATTCTTTCCATGGCGATGATAGAAAAATAATTCCTTCTGGCCACCACTCCTTTACCTCCTTCCTCACTCTTCTCAGCCCACATTTTTTGTTGAACTTATTGATCTACGGATTTTTGCTGAATTATTCTGAACTATTGAAGATGGCGACAGAGGGTAATTTAGTTTTGAAGTTTAGAAGCAATAAACAAGGCTTTGAGTTTATGGATAAAATCCCCCCTTTCCCCGAGGTGACTACATGTTCAATGGCAGCATTTAAACTGTTTTGGAAGTACGATGGTTCAGTTGATAGTTTGGGAAAAGTTTTAGTCGCTACTAACAACACTCTTTTTGAATGCAGAGTAAGTGAGACAAATGGTGCTAGTAATGATGTTTTACTAGAGGGGTTAACTATATTTGTATTTGCTAATGGTACTGCATGGAAGTCTGTCAAAGGCCGTCATAGGCCCGAAGACCTTTACTCTTTTGTCGTGAGTGGATGCATAAAAAGAGGATACTTGAGCCTTGAGGCTACCCATAGTGTAGATGATGATGGTAGCTCTACTTCAGACGAAGCCATAGAAGCTGAAACGAATGATGGCACTGGTGTGGAGAATGACATGGGCGTTGACACTCTCTATCAAAACTATGAAGGAGAAGCCATAGAATATAATGGTTTCTATGTCAATAAGGAAGAGCTGCCCTACAATTATAGTGACGACTACATGGAGGGGTAGGGCCTCAAAGATGGCGCCGAATCACTGCCAGACAAGAAAGCAAGAGCTCTTGGTATCACCAAGGATGCAAACCAGCTCCAGGCTGGAGGCAGCCGAGGCTTATGGGCTTAATAAATGGTCCTCACAAGTGGAGGTTGTGTGGTTATTATTTTAAACAACAATATATCAGTTCACTCTCAGCCAAGGCATTTCCAATCCTAGGGTCACTGACCTGAGTTTGTGCCCATACAGGGGCTCCAATACAACAGCTCAATTATTGTCATGGGCTTTTCTGAGGCGCTTCGATGAGGATCGGCTAGTTCTGCTACTTGCTGGCAGCCGGTTTGGCTAGGCGCACTATC